TCCTGCTGACCAGGCAGCACGACCCTGGGTTGTGCAATGGGAAGGTGTCACGTGCTTCCTGGGTACAAACAATTCTGCATTTACAGCGGATTTTCAGTTCTTTTCTTCTTCTTTTTTATTTTCATTCCTGGGAAGCGAAGGGGGGGGTGATATGTGGGATGGGGCTGATGTGGGGGTTGGGGACACAGTTGCTTCCTTCCCTGCCCCAGCCCCTGCTGACAGGAGCACAGGGGGCTGAGGCTGGGGGGTGGCTGGGGTGCACAGGGCACTGTACAGGGAACAACCTTCTGAGCCAAGGACTGGTCCCTGCCTGTAGGAGGCTACAGCAGAGGGGACAGCAGCACGGAGCTGGGGGCAGCCTCCCTGGCTGGGGGTCTTCATGGCACATGAGTCTTTGGCACAATGGGGAGGATTCTTGGGGGACAGGGCCGGGGAAGCTCAGGGCACTGGGAGAGGAGGCCAGGGCTGGGGGACAGGCAGCCATCAAGAGGGGATCACAGATCGAGCAGGGGATGTGGTGGGGGCAGGGGAAGATGTATGCAGAGACCTGAGCCATGAAGCCATGCAACGCCTGGCCTGGTTCCCCGAAGGATCCTTAGGAAAACACAGGGGACTCCCAGGAAATGGGGTTCTCTCACTGCTAGGGCAACAGGAGTGATGGAAACCTGAGATGGTGGATGGACTCTAGATGTCCTGGAGACAGAGAGATTAGATAGAACGGGGATGGCTGGATGGAAATACACAAAATCATGTGCCAGTTCCTATTTGATGTTCCTCCCAAAGTCTGGGTGTGAATTGCCCTGCGGTGCCCTGCAGAGCAGGGCCGAGCTGCGTGGTGCGAACCAGCACCCCGGCAGGTCTCAGACACCATGGGAAGGAGAAGTTTGTGCTGCCATAGCCCGTGTAGGTGGCTGCTTCTACCACTGATAACGTGACATCCTCCACTGCACGGCTGTGAACTGAGGGCGTGTAACAGTCACGTCCTGGAGCAGTGGTTAGAGTCCTGCTCTGGGACTCAGTAGTGCTGGCTTCCATTCCCAACTGTGCTGCTGGCCTGCTGAGTGGCCTTGGTCAAGTCACTGCCCCGCTCTGGGACTCAGTTTCCCCTTCTGCAAAATGGCCAAATGATGCTTTGTAAAGTGCTTTTCTCTCCCCTGATGAAAGGTACTATCGCCAAGCTAGGCGCTATTGAGCCAAAGGAGCAGCTCCATTAACTGGTAGTAGGTTGTTATCCTCTAGTGGCCCAGTAACGAGGCTTGCTCTGCTAGCAGGTGACACTGTCCCCAGCCCTGTGTTCATTTGGATAATTCAAGATGTAGGCAGAGTCAGAACGAGCTCTCCCCTGACATCTGGTGGTGAGCTGTGGAAAAGGACTTCAGGGGCTGATTTTTTTGCATGGACACACCCACCCTGCCTAGCACGATGGGACTGCCTGCCCAAATGGTCACTTTGGCTGCTGTGAGATCCCCAGTCTCTTTGTTATTGGGGCAGGAGTAATAAAGTTGTTATCCTGGTTATGTGAATCAAGGACAGTAGAACTGTACTTGGCATTGTATGACTGAGGGACTCACCCTGAACTCACCTGCACTCTCTAGGCAAGGGACATGGGATCCAAACCCTTAGTGAGCTGAGGGTTTGTATCAGTAGATGAGATGAGGGTTATGTTGTGTTTTGGCTGTGTTACCCCATCCCCCCCTTTCTGGGTGGCTATATAGAGCTAATTTTGAGTCAAGTAAGAGTCTTGTTTCATGCAGTGGTGTTGAAATCACTAATACCTAGTTTTAAGTATTAGATTTACTCTATTCTAGTTGTTCTGCTGCAAGAAGACTATCCAGGTGTGCCAGCAGGGAGGTTCCTCTACTAACAGCTGAACTCACCAAGAGCTGTGTTAAGTATGGGGGGGCCTGAGGACATATTGGTGAGCAGCTGGTAGGATAGCTATTGGAGAGGACTGGAGCAGAACCCTGCAGAGGGGTGTGACAATTGACTGTCAAGGGCCCCAGTGGTGGAGAGTGTAAGGTGCTTCCATACCTCCTCCTCCACCCCCTTTCCACCCAGGCTGGGAGGTAAACTTCTGAACTCTGGGGTTGCACTGACCAAGGACAGCAACTGTGAGTTGGGTGACTTCTGGGTTGCTGGACTTAAGACCCTGAAGGGAAAAGAACACTGCCAAACTTACCTGGGGGTCTTTTGCTCATGGTTTGTGTTATGAATCCTGTTTGTGGTGTTTCCCCAACATAATGCCACATTGTGTCCCTCCTTTATTAAAAGGTATTTGCTACACTCAGGGTATGTCTACACTAAGAAATTAGTTCGATTTTATAGAAGTAAATCTTTAGAAAGCGATTTTATACAGTCGATCGTGTATGTCCCCACTAAGCAGTAGGTTGGTGGAGTGTGTCCTCAATACCGTGGCTAGCATTGACTCATGGAGTGGTGCACTGTGGGTAGCTATCTCTCAGTCCCCAATGCCTGATGGAGCAAAAACATTGTCGCTGTTGGTTTTGGGTACATGTCATCAGTCTCCCCCCCCTCCTTGAAAACAATAGCAAACAATCATTTCACAACTTTTTTTCTGGGTTACCTGTGCAGATGCCATAGCATACCAAGCATGTAGCCCGCGCAGCTCAGCACTGCTGTTGTGAGCATTGTAAACACCTTGCGCATTATCCTGCAGTATGTGCAGAACCTGGCTAGGAGCTGTCAGCACGAGGACGATTGTGAGGAGGACACGGACACAGACATTCCTGAAAGCACGGGATGTGACAACTGGGACATCATGGCGGCAGTGGGGCAGGTTGATACAGTGGAACGCCGATTCTGGGCCCGGCAAACAAGCAGAGACTGGTGGGACCGCATAGTGTTGCCGGTATGGGATGCTCCCTGCTGCCGTAGGTAGTGGGACCCCTGCACAACTGCTCAGCTGCCGTGGAGAGCGGGGGACTTTGAAGTGGGGCAGTGGCAGTGGGGGACCCCGGAGCTCCAGCAGCAGTGGGCGCTGAGCTGAACCCGCCTCCCCATTTTGTCAGTATATTTTTAGTGACAGTCAGGACAGGTCACAGGCTTCCGTGAATTGTTTATTGCCTGCAACATGGCCGTAATTTTTACTAAAAATATCTTAGCCTTATTCATGGTCAGAAGCTTTCGAATAGTGGTTATGGGGTTTCCCAGATTACTGACAGGTTCCTTTCCCCTGTTTATTAAAAATTCTTTGTTATACACAGACTCAGTGCTTGTGAGAGGGGATGTGTTGCCTCTTACAGGCACCTGGGGTGGTGTGAAGTTTTCCCAGATTACTGGGTGGGGGTGTGACGGGTTCAATCACAGAGATCCCCTTGGGACTGTCACCTGATCTGCTGAAATTACCTCTGAGCCTCTTTTCTCTGCCAGCTTGGGTCTCCAGAACCCTGCCTCGTTGAGCCAGACACGCTAGCCTGCTGCAACACAGACCCAGGGTCTGGACCATTCCCCCAGAGCTGCGGATTTTTATTAAAAACAGCTCAGCAGGTTACCTGTCTCCAGCACCCAGACACCGATCTCCCAGTGGGATCCAAACCCAAAATAAATCAGTTTTACTCTATATACAACTTATACAGGGTAAATTCATCATTTTTTCACCCTCTCTTTCACTGATAGAGACCTATGCACAGCTGTTTGCTCCCCCAGGTATTAATCACTTACTCTGGGTTTATTAATAAACAAAAGTGATTTTATTAATTAGAAAGAGGAGGATTTAAGTGGTTTCAAGTAATAACAGCCAGAACAAAGTAAGTTACACAGCAAAATAAAACAAATTACACAAGTCTCAGCCTAATACCTGTAATCAGTTTCTTAATGTAATATCTCACCCTCAAAGATGTTCCAATAAGTTTCTTTCACAGACTTCTTCCTAGTCTGGGCCCAGTCCTTTCCCCTGGTAGAGTCTTTGTTAGTTCCAGTAGACATCTCAGGTGGTAAGCAGGGGTTTTCTCATGACCGGCAGCGCTTTGTCCCTCTCCACCCCCTTTTATAGTTTTGGCACAAAGGGGAATCTTTTGTCTCTCTGGGTCCCTACCCCTCCTGCTAAATGGAAAAGTACCAGATTTAAGATGGATTTCATTATCAGGTGACATGGGCACATGTCACTGTAAGACCCCCAGTCTCCATTCCCCATGGGCTGGCCCACACATACACAGGGAGGCTTTCAAGTAACTAAGGCCATTCACAACTGATTGTTTCTGGAGCACCCTTAATGGGTGCATACACACTTTGTATGTTTTTCAGTGATACAAGTTTATATCTTATTCTCCTAACTTCAGATATAGAAATACATGCAAACAAATAGGATGAACACACTTAGTAGATTGCAAGCTTTCTAAAGACACCATGCAAGGGGTATTTAGCGTAAAGCATATTCCAGTTATGTCTTATTCATAAGCATATTTCCATAAAGCATATGAAGTGCAACATCACAGGGGGCTCCAGCCGGTTCTGTTTTGTATTGGAATCGCTAGATATTGAACCCGGCCCTGGTTGATGGCGACTCCACCTGGCAGAAGGGTTACTCCTGGCAAGAAAAGCAGAAAAATGACAATAGATTCCAAGACCACCGAGAGTGTAATGTGCAAACTGGCGGGTTGTCTCTGGGAGGCAACACACAAAGCCCCTGGATCCTGACCCATAGGCATAATGGAGCCAGGGGAAATTCTTCACGGTGCTGACTGCTCATTGGGGATGATCCGTCTGCACTGACAAGGATTCAATCCCAGGGGACAATCTGATCTATTCAGATCATTACACTGCAAGAGCCAATGCCTGCCTAGCCCACAGTGAGTGACCCCTGGAGCTCTCAGGAGAGCCCAGGGAAGGGAACGCGGAGGTGCCAGGACAGGACATTCTGTTCTGGTGCCTAAGATATCTAGGATACTCCTCGATAGTGACCGACTCTCACTAACACTTGCAGTGACGTTCCCAGCTGGCTCATAACCAATCCTGCATCATTCGGGGGCAAATCACCTTTACAGCAGTAATGAGACCCAGCTAGAGATGACTGTGTCACAGGCTGGTATTGGAACAGAGCAGAGGACCTCTTACCGTCTTGGTGCTGGTGGTGGGGACAGCAGACATGGATAGATCGTAAGTCTGAGATTTCATGCTGAACATTCGGAATCCCTTGATCCATCTCCTGTACTCCTCTCTCACCTGGAGAGTGAGGGACACGGTCACTGCACTATGTAACTAACTCGGAGAAGATCAGACATGGCCACCGCAAGGCCAGTGAAGGTGCTGGGCGCTGACGGGCCATGGGCATTACCTGGCGATTGAGGAGACAGTGCACCAGGAAGATGAAGGCTCCCTGCAGGCTGTTGACGATGGTGAATAAATACGCCATGACCGTGGCTGCTGGGCCGACTTGGAGGAGACCAAGGCTCCATGTGCAGCCCAGAATGATGAGCTGGGCGATGGCTTTAAAGGTCAGTAACCTGGATAAAGGCAGATGGAGAGATCCTGTTACAATAACCCTATTGAGAGCAATTGGGTCAGGAGGATCTGGGCAGAGTGGGGTGGAGCTACCATCCCTGGCTTTCCTGTGTGGGACACGGTTACTGTCAATGCAAACACTATGGGAATTCATTCCTATGGATCCTAGATATGCTGGTCTCCTCCTGCAATCCCTCACACCCTCCCAGTGCCAAGGACCTTCCAAGCCAAGGCATCTGACCCTCCAGTATAGTTTTGTTGCCATCTCACCTGTGGTCTCTGAGGGTGGACACATCTGCATTGAGGGAGGAGAGTCTGTTTCTCAGGATCCACAGGGTCAGGGCAAAGAACGTTATATTTATCTGTGGGAAGAGTGGGAAATATTTCCTGTAAAACATCCCATCTGGGGCCGGTGACTCCAGCTGAGGCAGAGAACGATCCCAGGGGACCGATCCGAACTCTGCAGAACCGGGGACTGCTCATTTCCGGTGGGAATCATCCCCTCTCCTGTAATATCCCCTGGCAGCTCTCGGTCCCTCCCCATGCGTGGAGCTGACAGCACAGCCAGGGCTGAGATGGATCAATGGGATCACAGAGGCCAGATGCTGCTCAGAGTTAAATATGGAGCCTCTCCAGTGCAGTCAGGAGTTATTCTGGGTTTACACTGGTGTAACTGAGAGCAGGATCTGGCTCAGAGATTCCAGATCCTGCCTCTAGAATACTTCCTGCCACTTTCACGCTGTAAGAAATCCCCGCCCCGAAACTTCCCCAGGGGGTAGGGAGGAATATGTAGGGACATTTGTTTCCCCCCCTACAAAAACCACGGCAGAGTGTAGCCCTCTCCCTTCCTCGTTCCTTGGGTCATGAACTAGACTAGACCAAACTCTTCTGTCTTCACTTGGCAAAACTCCTACTGACGTCCATGGGAGTCGTGCCTGAGTAAAGGCTGTCGGCCTGGGGATACAGCACAGGGACTAATCCCGGGACTGACCACAGCAGATGAGCCAGGTGGGACCTAACTGGGTCTTTCCTTGTGTTTTATGGGCCACGTTCTCCTCCCTGCTTCACTGAAATCAATGGGGTGGCAGAGGTGAGAGGAGAATGGGGCCCTGTGGTTCTGGGAGGTACCCACCAGGATTATGGCACAGACTGGACCCAGGAAGCTCCAACGAAAGCCTCTCTCCGGGCTGAGCCAGCAGCTAGCGGGAGGGAGGAAGAAGAAGGTGACGTTAATGGGATTACTGCCCTTTTTCAGCCCCGGGGGCAGAGGGGGGGGTCACAGGGCAGCTGGCTCTCAAAAGCGAGATGGATCTCAGCCTGCCTGTGACATGGCCGACTCTCTTGCAGGCAGCAGGTGAACATCCCTCCCCATGTACCTCAGCATCTCCTGCTTTCAGCCCCCACTTCCTCTTCCACCTCCTCAATGACCCTTTCTGGTGGATGGGCGCAGTATTGCTGGGGGGCCAGACATGCAGCGGATGGACATTGGCCTCGCTGCACGGAAGGAAGTGGAGCTGCCCTGATTTACACCAGCTGAGGATCTGGCCTGGGGTGTCTAGAACACGCCACGCCCTGTTTTAGTGAGTCCCTCACTTTAGAGAGGGGATCCTCAGGGATCTGCACACAGGAAGAAGGTGCATTTGTTTCCTACCCACCAGCCCCACCAACCCAGCCTGGGAGCTGGGAGTCCAGCTGGGATCTTTCTGGCTTGTTCTTCCACATCATCAGTGGGTTGAGGAGTGTAGATGTCTGACAGGTGGGCAACTCAACTGCAGCACTCGGGGCAGCTTAGTGTCCCTGGGGATGGGAAGGGTTCCAGGGGGACATTCAGCTCCCAGGCAGGGTGAGCAGGGAAATCTAGGTTCAAGTCAGACCTGGGGTGAGCCGGACAAGCGCATGGAAGCCACATCCCAGCTCCCCTTCGGGATGGGCGCTGCACGTACTGTTCGGAAGTTCCGTAGCCGTCAGGATTCACTGCTGCAGAAATAGCCACCACCAGGGCTGGGAATCCGTAGCCGAACGGGTACATGAATCTCTTCTTGAACCGGCTGGCGCTGGTGTAATTCACGACCTTCAGGTTCCTGACGGTGAGGAAGAGAAACAGCCCCTCCAGGAACATCCAGGAGAAGCAGGCCAGGAAGAGGTAGTGTAGGAGCCCAGCAATGACAGCACACGCCACCTGGGGGAGACAGAGAGCCCAGGGACACTGCGGTGGGGAAGGGAAATGCTGAGTATGGGGGAGACCTGCCGGGGGGTCACACCGGGATTCTTGTTAGCAGAGCTCTCCAGTTATAGCGCTCCGTGACCCAGGGACGGCAGGTTCCTCGGTCTATGGAGGGTCCTGCGGGTGCACATTGCTGATGCAGGAAGGGAGCAGAGATTAGTGGTTAGAGCAGGGGAGCAGGGCTCAGGGGATCCAGGTTCTGTTCCCAGCCCTACCACAGAGTCCTTGGGTGATCATGGGCAAGTCACGTAGGAGAAGAATCGAGGCACAGGGAGACTGTGACATAGGGATAGAACTGGCTGAACTCCAGGGGTTGGGGACACTCAGACCACTGTGCCCAATGTGAAGGGGCCTAATGGGGTGGGAAATTCCCCGCCTGGGAATCCCCCCTGTGTCCTGCACAGCCCAGAATCCAGGGATCACAAAGGGGTTCAAACCACACACCCCAGCCCTGCCCTGAGGAACAGAACAGGGGAGAATCAGGCCGTACCTGACTGCTGGTGGGAGTCACCTGGGTGAGGAAGAGCAGGTCGGCCAGGAAGAGGCAGAGGCAGAGCTGCAGGTGGAGGGAGGTGCTGACGTTGCGGATGGAGCGGCACAGGAGGAAGGTGAGGATGGCGAGGAAGAGGCACGGCAGGGAGAGGGTCAGTCCCACGTAGGTGATGATGGTCAGTGGGTAACTCTCCTGTAACACAGCAAAGGGACAATCACCAGTGAGCCCAGCCCAGCCCCCTCAGCTCCGACTCAGCCTTTTCCCCAGCAAAGCCTCCAGTCACTCCAGGGAGAGCTTTGCCCACGGCTGAGTGCGGAGCTCAGGGTCCAGCCATGTGATCGAGTCTCACGGTGAGATACCGTCACTGTGGTGGGAGCCATTAGGACAGCGAAGCTGGAGAGATGGTCACAGCTACAGTTGGTGTGAGTGCTGTTCGTGTGCACGGCTGTGCAGCCGTCCGGAGACCAGCTGCCGCTCTCAGCCACTACTTTCCAGTAGACACAGAGAGCCTCTTCCTCCTCTTTTTTCGCCTGGAAACACAACAGAATCATCCTCATCCTCATGGGACCACAGGATGTCCTTTCTGTTATCAAAAGTCTATAGCAAACCTGAGGCCACCTACAGCTCCACGGCTCTCCCCACGCAGCCCCCAGTGCCCACTGGGGCCAGCCCGGTGACAGTAGAGAGAGAACGGAGAACCCACTGCTCCAAAAGCACAGGCCCTGCTTTTGGAGCACAAGCGAAATAAACCCTTGCTAGCCGTTAGCACTATAAGGAACGTGGCACATGGCTGAGCAGTTCTGACTGCATCCAGCAGAGGGCAGTGCTCTGTGCACACATACATATAAGCACCATAACCACTTCATTACCGTATCAAAGTGTTTCATGCTGATTCCCTGAACCCCAATCTCTACAGAAAGTGGCTTTCCAGTTTTTCCGGCTCAGGGATGAGCTAGGCGGAGCTGATGGATTTCCACTCCATATGGCTAAATGCAGTGTTACCCTAGACCAGGGGTGGGCAAACTTTTAGGCCCAAGGACCACTTCGGGGAATGGAAATTGTATGACGGGCCATGAATGCTCACAAAATTGGGGTTAGGGTGTGGGAGGGGTTGAGGGCTTTGTTTGGGGGTGCAGGCTCTGGAGTGGGGCTGGGGATGAGAGGTTTGGGGGGCAGGAGAGTGCTCCGGGCTGGGATCAAGGGGTTTGGAGAGTGGGAGGGGGATCAGGGCTGTGGCAGGGGGTTAGGGCATGGGGAGAGCTTGAGGGGTCCAAGGGCCAAGCAGCGCTTAACTCAAGCAGCTCCCAGAAGCAGCGGCATGTCCCTTCTCCGGCTCCTACGCAGAGGCATAGCCAGGCGTCTCTGCACGCTGCCCCATCCACAGGCACCGCCCCTGCAGCTCCCATTGGAGCACCGGAGGGGGTCACTGGAGCATGTAGGAGCTGGAGCGGGGCTATGCCGTGGCTTCTGGGAGACATGTGGTGAGGCCCGTGACCCTTTGCCCAGGCCGGAGTGGGGCCGAGCCATGTGGTCTGTCTCCCAACCCAGCGCTTCCACCAGATTGGGGCCGAGCTGCATGGTGCGGCCCCCAACCCCAGCGGGAGCTCGTGTGCTGTCTTAAAATGGCTTCCTGTCCAGATGCGGCCCACGGGCTGTAGTTTGCCGACTTCTCCCCTAGAGCACTTTGCACAGCCATGTGTCATGGTGTGACCCTCGGTAACCTCCTCCAGTAAAACAGCCCCAACTCATCAGGAATAAGGAGGCCTCCTCTTGTCAGGACAATCGATAGCCAGAAAGGCAGCATGGTCCAAATGCCCGGCAGGAGATGGTGCCTTCTATAGGCCCCTCTGGAGCCCCAGATATGGAGCAAAGAGAAAGGCTCTTCCTTCACGCACCTGTCTGTGGCGCAGGGTGAAGTTTGCGGGTCTGGAGAGGTGAATGGGTCTCCCGTCTCCGACGG